AAGTGCTCTTCTACGGGTACGACTCTAATCATAGCTATAACATTAGGGTGGGCATGGTCCGGAAAGCCTCGCTCTTTTCAACAAGGTCGCCTCGCTTGCAATACTTGACTCTGTCAGAGAGCTGTATTGAGAAAAGCTGGTCCTTCCAGGGGGTACGGTGAATAAGATGAGTTCTGTATTTTCAGCAGTTATAGCAAGTAAAAGCTAGTAAAAGCTATCTGACTAAGATTAAGTACCCCTGCATAAGAGCATACAGGGTGCGCCGAAACTGTAACCTGGCGAAGAGTAGCACATATTTACTTTCCAGCTTCTCCAGTGAAGCTGTTCTCAAACTAATTGGTTGCTACGTAAATTTCAGTAATTATTTAGGTCGTCATTCAGCGATTATGGTACCACTCTTTAGACATGTGTATTAAGTGTCGACGTTTTGAAGAAAGTAAACAAATCGGTATACAATTTGTTGTCATTATTTATGAGATAAGTCTAAAAGAGTTCCATAGTTCAACACGAGCTTTCAAAATCTTAAAGCAAGCAATGAGCTTTGGTTTTTTAACGATGCGATTATAATTGCGTGGAATTAGTTGGATTTTGGTGCAATAAAATAAAATATCTATTATATTCGTATTAAAATACAATTTTTAATCAGCGCTTAATAAATTTAATGAGTATGCTCTTTTTTAACAAATTCTAAGGTGTTTTGTATTTGACTTATTTAATGATTTAGCTATTTTATGAATGGAGTGTGAAATGTTGATTCAATTAATTGCACGCAGTAAAGTGAGAAGAGACCTGAATGCCTTGTCAAAGCGAAAGATATTTTTACTTTAAAACCATCAACTATTTAAATAAAAAGTGTTGTCTACATTATTTCAACGAGATTATCTTTTCAACCTAAGAAACCGCAAACGGCAAAATCATTGAACCAATAAGTGACACTGGCACTCTCTTTGTTCGAGTAGTTTGATCCGCAACTAAACGATAGTAAAATGTCATAATTATCAGTTTATTTTTAGACGCTCTTCTGTGTTGATTCTCTTTTGCAAAAAATTGCCTCCTTGTTTGGAAAACACAATGACTTATTTTATGGCTTTTAATAATGCTCCTCTTGACTGTTAAGCGACACAAACAAGGCAAAAGTGACGATTTAGCTGGACAAAAATAATTAACTAACAAAATTAATTTGGGGTGTGGGAAACTAGAATTATATAATGGTTTAAAACTATTTATGCAAAAATAACGGCATTAATAAAAATATAAATTTACTGACCCCTGCGAAAAACGGTTTTATCCACTTTGATCTGAAACATGATGTTTACATTTTGATATTTACATGAAATATATAATAGTAACAGATAAATATTGTACTTGGACAACATGGAGGTTTCGTAGCAAATTAAAAATTTGGAGATTCCTCGCTTTTTAACCGACTTCCAAAAAAGGAGGAGGTTATCAGTTCGTCGAAATATATATTTTTTGATTTTATTTTATTTTATTTTTTGATGTATGTTACCGCATAAATTTGGACCACGTCAACCGATTTCGATAATTCTTTTTGCATCAGAGATGGTCCCATACTAATCTGGTTTAGATCCGATCATATACATATTTATATTTTTTTTAAGTCCGTTTTTTTTTTGCTAAAAATTACTTGTTAGAATTTTTTATCTGTCAATCAGCTGAAGCTAATAGATTATTTTGTAGCTGTAAACAAAATAAAAGTACTCATAAAGTGCTTCAACGGGACAGCTTAATTTTTGAGAGGACTTTCTAATCAAATCAAAAATACTTTTACTTTTGTACTTTTTTTTATCATTTATGGAATAATTATTTTCTAGTTAATTTTATAGAACTTTTTCAAATAACTACAATTTAAAAACTGTTATACGTAAACTATTGAAAATATAAAAACTTACTCGCAAAAGTCCTTCTTTAATATAAAAATAATTTTAAAAAGTTACATGCAAACAGCATTAGTTATAAAATACTATCAGTTAGTTAGTCAAACATTAAGGAACGTTCAAAGGTATTTTTATAGATATTAAATATCACCGCAATTTTCGATTTTTGTCCAGCTAAATTGTCACTTTTGACTTTTGTGCGATGCGACGTGACAAGTCGACCATAAATTTAACAAAAAAAAATAAAAAATATAAACAAAAAAATGTTTTTCTACTAAGTACTTGCCATATTTGGTGATCATGTGCTTGTTTTTGTATACAATTTAAAAACAAGTTGATAAGGCTTATCAACAGCTCAAATGCGTTGACGGAACAATAGGCGGAATGCAAAAAAAAATGAAGAAGAAAAGAAACACTGACTGATCTTCTTTACGAGTTGTTTGCCGATATGAATATTAATTACTCATAAAAAGCCGCGATTGTCATTGAAAATTCGCAAAAAATTTTTTTGTTGTTCAAAGGTTTATTCGGTAAGGGAAGTTTAGCAATGAAAAGTTTTTCTGCTGCAACTCATTGCATTAATATTGAGTTTATCCTTACTAATAATACTATATCGAGCCCTAACCGCCAAAATAACGTAAGCGACATTTTTTTCAAAATTTTCTTTTTGATGCAGAAATATTCCTAGAGCGTCTAGATACATTTCTGCATCAAAAAGAAAATTTTGAAAAAAATGTCGCTTACGTTATTTTGGCGGTTAGGGCTCGATATGTAAATTCGAAAGTGAGTTTGTTTGTTGGTTATGCTATCACGCTTTAACAACTCAACCGATCATCATGAAGCTTTGTAATCTGGGCGTGGCTCCTCCCATACAAATGGAGTTTTTCGTACTGCATATCTCTGGAAGTATTAACGGTAGATGACTGGAACTTGGTATGGAGATATATTAAGTCAAGAAAAAAAATTTGCATTATTGGAGAAGGGGGCGTGGCACGTCACGTTCAAACGGAATTTTCGATACTGCATGCGAGTGTAATGAATGCACAAAAGAATGTTGAACGCTGTTTTTTAATAAAACTAAAAAAAAACATTGAAATTTACAAAAATTTGTATAAAATTTGTCTGAAAAAGTCCATGTGTAAGACAATTTTAAATTATGCACTTTCTATAAAACTAGGTCTATAAAATCGAGCATACATCCAATAGCTGCGTTAGTAGGCATACAATTTTTCTAATAGAATTCTCTGTAGCTTAGGGTGGTTAAATTCTATTCGTACGAATACTTTTTCTGATTTCAAGGCAGTCGAATATGAAACTTTGTAAAAAAACGATGCACAAATGCGATGTACGAATTTAGTTGACTACTACGATTATTTATTTCATCAAAATATGGCAGAAAAATATTTTAATACGTTTTTGACAAGTTATTGTTATTTTATTAAATGTAAAAATTGCTATGGTTTATGGGGAAAAACACATTTTCAACTGAAGGAGTGATTGTAGCAAAAAATGAAATTGACCGCTTTTATTAAATTTGTCAAGAGTTTAACATTTTATGTCCGCTCTTATGCTTTACATATTTCTTATAAAATTGTCTTGTTTTTGTCTTTAAGTTTATCACCTGAAAGGAATGAATAAAAATAAACAATTTTCCAAAAAGCTTGAAAATTTCCTCATCTTTCGAATTAAAAGGCCTGAAACTCAAGAAGTATTACGCGAATTGATAGAAAATATGTTAATACAATCAGGATAAATATATCTTTCGAAAGGTTGCATTCGCTTCACTGGAGTTTTTTCATATTTCGACGACGCTTCTTTCATGTATAGCGCATCTAAATAAGTATAAAAGAACATTTTTCAGCGAAGTCCTTTCTTCGTGGACTCGAAATGTATCTATTTTCTATGTTTTCTTTTTACGAGTTTTATGCTTCGAATGTTTGTTTAGAATGAGAACTGTATGTGTATATGTACCTAAACAAATAAAATTTTGGAAATTCGATATAAAATTAATTAAAAAAAAATTTTAAATCGATGAATAATGAAACTAGCCCTTTTCTTAGCTCTAAAATTTTTTATTTAGCCATTTTTTCTGGAGGTTCTAGCCCTAAAGGGATATTTATTTCTGGCAATACTGTTCATAAGGATAAAGACTTTTGAAAATCCAGCTGCGGTTGTACCCTTGAATGGCTGTATTTCAGAAAATACTAATGAAACCCGGCTTGTCGCCAGGACTGGATTTATTTCAAATGCCGCCCCATGCCCTGTGAAAGATAATGCCCTTCTTCCATGAACCTAAACGAAATATTAAGAAAAGTTTATTCTACAGCGCGCTGAAAATGCCGCACTTTCTGTACAACCGCCAATTATTGCAAAGTCAAGCTTTCGTCTAAAAAAATTCAAATTGAAGCTTTGGCAACGCAAAAATATTCATAGAAATAAAAAAATTTTTTTTTAACTAAAATCTATATTGTTATCGGAAAGCTTATAAAAAATGCAGAGAGCAAAGTAGATGTAGGAAACTAAAATTGAGCCACTCTAGTAATATTTAAGGATAAAAAAAAAATCATTTTTGGGTTTTCTGAAATAAATAGCGTTTTTTTGTCAATTTTTGTGTGCTATTTTTTATTGACTTTTTTGCGTTTTTTAGTGCACAATAGAGCTTTTGAAATCTTAGTGTTTTTTTCCATTTTTCAGTTTTATTCAAAGTTTACAGGAAACTTGTGTAGTTGTAATTGTTCAGGCATTCGATTGCCTTGATTACGATCACCGCAGATTTCCATTTCTTGTTTTATTTCAATAAAATACCCAACCCGCCATCACGAAAGGACTTCTAAACAAAACCGGCAGTTTTCATACTTTTCTTTTACATAGCATATACATACATACATGCACTTTTCCACACAAATGGTACACACACATCTTAATTGCAGTTTCCACTTCCGTGCATACCTCAATTCCCCAATAGAATTACATTGAATCTCATTGAGCTTAATGCAGCAATTTTTCTTTTGTTTTTGTAGATATTTTCAAGTTGCTTTCTTTGCTTTGCTATACATACATATTTGCACTAATACAATCGCATATATTTGCATTTCTTTGCAGCAATGGCTGTCCAGCCGATTGGATATGGATTGTGCCGCCGATGTCTGGCTCGATAACGCCTGTTTTCCATCAGGAAATGGCTTTGTATTATTTGAAGCCATCGTTTGAGTATCAAGATCCGGCTTGGCGTACGCATGTGTGGAAGAAGGGGCGTGGCGAGGGCAAGAGCAAGAAACCAAGACGTAAATTCAATTTCAAACAAATTGCCAGGTAAGTGAGTTGATAAATGTACTACAGACATATGTATGTACATACTTATATGAAGAGTTTAGCAAAAGCGTGTGTGTAGCAGCAAGCTGCTCCTATTTGTAAAACTATAAATGCTAGGAAATGACAGCAATGAAAGCGAGATTGACGACTATTACGACATAAGTGCGTATCGGCGTACATATTCGCAAGTTCTTCGAATCCGCGTTAACTCAAAATTTAAGGTTTTTAATATTATGCGTTAAAAAAGCTAACCTTACAGTAAAATTAGAAACTATACATATTTTCTTGTGAATTTTTGATAAGGATAGCCATCAAGCCCACCTTCCTCAAATAAATAAGATTACATAAAGAAGTATTTTTTGAGGCTTTCTGATAAATAGTAAATTTTGAGTTGATACACTTTTGAAGAAAGCGGCGATATATACACATACATGTATGTGCATGCAAAATCGAGCGATAGCAAAAAACCGCCTACTTGTTTGCTGTGGGTTGGTTGCCACTAGTAATTGGTGGTTGTGTTCGTTGCTCACAACACAAACTAGCACAAAACACTTCCACACACCCACACACAGATGCATACATAAGAAAAAGTAGGGGTAATGTTCTTTTTTTTGTAAATCATGCCCTCACATTTGGTTGAATGGCATATAGACTTCCAGTTGGATTATCCTTTAACTTTGTTATTATGCGTATATAAGTATTTAATTTACATGCACGCATGTCTATACATGCACTGCAGAAAAAAATTAGCTTTTTTTGCAGGATTTCTATAAAATATATAATTTGTAGTTAGCTACAAAAAGCTCACTTGAAACTAGTTGACAAGTAGTGCAGGAGATTGTTCTCTTTAAACGCGATTCTATTTAAATATCCTGCACTTCGCAAATACTTTTTCGAATTGAGGCCAAATAAAAGGAAGATCGAAATTTCATATTGTAATTTTGAAGTTATGTCTGACGGAGTTCGAATATGGGACCACCTACAGCAGAATCTGTAAACAAATCTGAAATGTAATTAAATAAATAAAATAAATAAATAAAGAAAATATTTAGTTTTTCCTATTGATATTTTAGTTACAAGTTGGTTGCATCAAATGCAGAGGCCAATTCGCGACCATCGCCATAGAAATATAGTTAGCTTTCGTCAAAGAAAATATACAGATAATAAGTGACTTTTAGCTCCTTCCTAACCAACTTATAGTTAGCTTAAAGTTAGATACATTTCCTGCAGGGTACACACATGCATACGCTCTTTATTGTAAGCGATTTACATATGCATACATACATAAATATACACATACATATATACACATGTCCTTATGCTTGTTGCGGCAAGGAGTAAGACATTTGCTCAGTCAACAAATTTTATTTGTTTTGAATTATTTTTGTTTGCTGCCGCCGCGCCGGTACTGGGAATCCTTTTAATGCGGAAGTCACATGCAGCTTATCGGATTAAATTGACAATAAAAAATATTGACTGTTTTAAAATGTGTCATTGTGAGACAGTTGGCAATTGTATTACTTATCATAAAGATATATGTACATATCTACGCATGTACATATGTATGTATGTAAATTCTGTGATGGCAAGAAAGAATCGCTTAAGTGTGATTTGGTTGTAAAACCAGCGAGCTGTTAGAGTGAAAAGTATATTTTATATATATTGGTTTTGATTTGTGTAAATTCATATCAATAATATTGATATTTTTGCAAGCACTTTATCATTTGCTAGCAATAATTTTGAGTTCTAACTTAATCAACTTGAAATTTTCAAATGTTGCTTATGTCGACTTAAGCAAATTTTTCTGTTCGCCTCAGAATTTCAGCGCCATGGGATGTTGATGAAATTTAAGAGGTATGCGGATGTTTAATATGCAACAGCGCGTTCTGACGTGTGATTTTATTCAATTTATTATTTGGAAGCAATTTAATAACTACATACACATACTCTACATGTTTTTAAATTGAAATGGCATTACTCACTCAGGGTTGTACTTAAGCACTTGAGTAGTTGGGAGTTTTGTGAGCTTCCAAAAAGGCTCACTTTTATAAGTGCTGGTGACAAGGCTGCCAAAGAATGAAGAACTGACGCGTTTTCGGTGAATTTCGCGCTATGACTTGCCTCGATCTTTTTTAAATCATTTTTTCATAGCTTATGAATCATAAGTATCGTTTAAGCCTTAAGGCTCCTTGGTACATGATTCGATTGTTTGGAATACCCAAAGCATACTGAACAGGTAGCAGCAACAGAGGAGCGAATTTGATTTCTGTTTGTGCATTTAGCCTCTGAATCGTCATTTCGGTTTTCATTTACTACTACATTCCCATTGAACTGAACTCTGAAATTTCGCGAAGTCTTTCGAAATCCAGAAGGATTTCCCATGATTTTGGTTTCTTGGATCTCTTGGATCTTCATGCAAATTAAAAACAACAATTTATTTTTATTGTGGAATTAAGTATAAAACACATACTTATACTAACACTTTGTGTTAAGATGAACGGTGCTGAACCAGACGCGTGTTCGAATCTGAACTTGCAATTTATTGTTACCAAAAACGGTCGCCAGGGTGCGCTTAGATGCAATAAACATGAAGAAAAAGTTCCAACAATGTTTCTCAACAATGTTTCTAAACAAAATTTTTTTTACCCAAGGCACACCCAGCGGTCGGTTTTGGTGAAAATAAATTGCAAATTCAGATTCTTTGTAGCCGAAAATTCCCAGACAGGCCTTTTGCATTTAAATCAATTTTAATATTTTAAATGCTGCTCTGCAACCACCAACTTAAATTCTCCAGCTGACTGCCGAACAGTGTTATACTTCCTTTTCTGATAATTAAATCAATAAATCCAACAAAACCCTCGAAAAAAAATTACGGTTACCTAGGCCCCGAGCTAGCAAAAAGTATTCATGCATACATAAATATATAGTAGGCTAATACACCAATGGATGAAAAAATTTTTTCTGTTGATCAATGCACACATAAACTAATTAAGTTTTTTTGCAGTTCTTGTATTTTTTTTACGAAGACTCATATTCACTTTGTCTCGATATGTTTCAGCCGAAGCTATCTTACCCTGACTTCTATTATCGATCAGCACGGTCTAATATATATTTCCCAAAACCACATTAAGGGCCGGTTTTTCTATCGACTCCCTGTTAGTTTGCGAAGTCGATGACGATGTTTAACCTGCAGTTAGTGTTAATCAGACGTTGAGGAACCGGCACTTAAAGTGAAATAGAACTTTGTTTAAATCTTAAGTCCGCCTAAACTGGACAGCTTAAAGTCGATGCTGAGGTGATTCCAACCTATCGTCTTCCATATATGTAGCTGTTGGTTGGTCTTAAGAGCTACTTTGGTCGCCTCCAATCTACCTCTGGCCGAAACAACTTGTCCCAATACGCCCTGTGCTCTTTGTGCAGATCACTCGCCCATCTTTTTGGCAGCCAAAATGGACCCACAACAGGTCGTTGAGAACAACGAGTCGAACTACTAAAAGTACTACCCCTTGTAGGCTATCTCTATATTACTGCTATTATGTATGTATCCACATAGAATTTTTGAAATAAGTTTTGAGCAAGTTTTAAAAATTAATAAAAAATGGAGGGCTTCGTTGAGTTAATTGTAATATACTTTTCACATTCTGCTCGCTTCATCAAACCGCGTATGTGTGTATGTGTGGGTGTGTGTAAATATAATTGACACTTTATGTATATTATTATGAATTTATGCGATGCGTCAAGCCATTTGCAAACGTTGCTAAGGTGTGAATTTCGTAACGGTAATTGCAATTCATTGTCGCTGTAAAAGTGAAAAATGCAATTTCGCTGCCTTAAACGATTGCTGCCAGCCAGCAAACGCATAGCAATGGAATGAGTTGCGTAATTAAATAATCATTTCCGGCATCATAACAGTAAAGTGATAGCAACAAAAATTAAAAAAAAATGAACAAAGAGTAGCGATACGAGTAAAGGCGCGTGAAACAATGTTTGATGCAAACGATAGGTGAAGTGTGAGTATAGGTGGCGAAGGCTTGGTTTGAGACCTCATACAAAGCACCTTCCCGGCTGCATTCACGCACACCAACATTCATATTCATTAAAAGCAATTAAGTGTAATTGTTGAACGTGAGCGTTCACGCACGCGCGCGCGCGCCCCTTAGTAATATTTTTGTAATGAAATCAGAGTGAAAATGTGAAAAATTAAATTCATCAACATTAATGACAGCAACAGAAGGCAAAAGTGAAATGCATCACCACCAGCAGTAGCACACACACACATGCATCCATACACATCCTCATAGACATAAATGCATTATAATGTGGCAGGGATGCAGGATGCGGAAATAATAGCTCGCAACAATAGGCAAAAGGCGAAAACAACAACAATACATTTGAATAGAGGGCGTGAGTGTGTGTAAAAGAGCAACGGCGGCAGTAGCAGCAACGAGAGAGCAATGAAATGAATCAGTGCTGACTTAAACAGCAACGAAAATGAGGCCAACATTATGGATAACAATCAGCAACAAGCTGACATTGTTGGCAAATTTAGCACGCACGCTGTACTGGCAGCAAATATTTTGGCATCAAATGTGAGCGCACAAGCGTAATGTGTGTAATGCTTTGTAAGCGAGTAGTGGCAGTGGGCTAGCGAAAAGGTACAGGTACTGGAAATACCTGCGAGCGCAAAAGTTCGCCATCTTCGGTTTGAAGGCGGAAAAAAAATTCAAGTTCATTCTTCATTTTTTTAAATTTATGAATTCGTATGAATTTTAGTATATCGTTTAGGTAAATTTCTGCATTTGGCGAAGGAGCCAGAACAGCCAGAACGGTAAAATAAAACAGTAAAATTATGTGAATAAGCCTTTAAACGGTCCCGTTGTCGTACCATACAACATCATTACAGCTTGCCTGCAGACTGTTCTTCATTTTTATAGATCCTGCAGAAGTCGTTATAAGGTAATAATGTGGCTCGTCAACAGACCCGTGGTCAGAGTAAGGAACTACCGACACCTTTTCTAGGTGCATTCTGGCCACATGAATTATTATTGCGTTGCAGGTGTCGAAATAATTCCACATTGCACAGTTTTCAGAGAAGGAGTATTCTTTGGACCTTTCTGGCAGCGAGAGGCATTTCCAAAATCTTCCAAGATGGCGAAAGTTGAATCGAAGTGCTTCTCCTTACAAGCTCGCTCGCCATCTCATTGCCTGGTATGTCGCTATGTTCCAGTCCATGTACCAAGTGAAGAGTATATTGGCCTGTGGTAGCGTAAAGTATTCTACGGAAATTTACTACATTGTAAGAGCGACAAAGTTTAATTTGTTTGAGCTGCTTGTCCTTAACCGTGTCCATAATTACTTAACAGCTTCCTGTTAAGTCGTAGGTTCTGAAGACGTTGAAATTTTCTGATTTGCGGATAGAACTTTCTAGTCCTTGGCTTCTCGAACATTGTTGTCCAATACGGATGCATCATCGTAGTACCGAACAGGTTCCGATACATTCCCCGTTGCTTCGTACTAAGGGTTTCTCGATCGGATGGTCAATTCAGAATGGAACACAACTTTATTTTTGGACAAATTCACATAAAAATTTGCTCACAAAATGACATATTGGACCAGCGAAAGTATCGAAACTATGTACCGATTTTCTTCCCATATAACCCATATTCATAAAGAATAAAAAATGCTTCACAAATCGAAAATTTGTTTCAGCAAGCTCTTTAAATCTATTTTGTATGAATGAGACCATAACAGTTTTGGGAGAGTGTAAGAACACAACAAACCCTTTTAATGCGCAGCAGGCCAGCAGGCCAGGCATTTGCTAGTATTGCCTTAAATAAAGTGATTCACAGCAACCACAAATAACGAGATGATTGTTATGACACCTCGTTAATTCACTCAGTGTTTACATTTACAAAGCGATTTCAAACAAATTCGTAAATTATCAAGCAATACAAAAATAATTATATCAAAATTTGAAATTACACCGAGGTATCTCTATGGATAGGAAAATGAAATATGGAAATCTTTACCCAACAAGCAAAATAACCAGAAACGTATCCGAAAATGGGAAAAATTTCTTATAAAATCCTGATAAATATTTCATCCGTTTTCGGTCGCTCGTTTTTCAGATCCTTTCTCCCACTAAGTGTTTGTGAAACGGATGCACTTTCGGCTGTTTTCCTGAAATTTGTCTGATTCAATATTTCATTGAAAACGATTTTATTATGAAATTCACAAACACTTTTTGATAGTTACAGGAAACTAAACAAAAAATAATTTTATAATTCAGCAATTAATGTGCTGCCTCTGACGGCATTCGAACCTAGGACCTTCTGAAAGCTAACAAAATAGTAGCACGCTCCTCTACACACTCAGCTACTTTTCAAATGCTCAGTTTGAACAAATATTTTAAAAATTATTTTGAAATAACATGATGATATCTTTCGGATACGAAAAATGAATAAAAATGGAAATCGTTTTCTGCATGTTTCCGGATACGAAAATTGCACTGTCGGCAAAAGGTACGTTTTTCTGCTGGCTGGGTAGTTTCCTGTAAATTTCTGTCAGCAGCGGAAAAATGTTTCGAAAATTAATTTTGCTCAAAAATTAGGGTTGTACCAAATCTGACTCTCCTATTTCCTCCTTCCGCCATAGACTAAAATTTTGTAGTGTTGCCGTGCTGCCGCCAACTCGCCGGAGTAGTCAAAGTAGGAGTGGAATATTTAAGCTCGAGCGGGGAGGCGCACTTTTAGGAGTTGCTGCCTGTTTGTACTCCTTTGAATCTGCTGTGCTTTTATTGATGTTTCGACATACAGCAGCGCACAAACTTTCACATGGAAGGAAATAAATTCAATATCAAAATACAAACACACACATAGAAACATATGTGCATACTTGAAAACTTTACATAATATAAACAAAGAACAAGTTTGAAATTTTTGCAAGCCATAGCTGCAGGGCCAATTTGCTTGAGTTACTTTCATTGCTGCTGTTGTTGCTATTGCCTAGCTGACTCCCAGACTTTTGTTTGCTTGCGCTATTACCTCAATTGCTTTTGCTGTTATTGCATTGTTGTTTTTGTTGATTTTATTGTTATTGGCATTTAACTGCAATGTTTAAGGCTTAAAGTGCAGATTTTCGCTAAACTACTTTACAAAAGTTACATAGAAACAAAAAAAATGAGTACGTGCTTGAAGTCCTTTAGTTGCGCTACTACTTATTCGTAGCCTAGGATGAAAACGGCAAAGTTTTAAGCGAATTAAACGTATTGTAAAGCAACATTCCATTTTCGTATTTGTACTTCTCGAATGACCCATTTGAAGTCCCTAATAGCCTTAAGCAAATGTTGCAAGCAACAAAAACTCTCGAAATTGAAATATTTTGGAAAACAACGCAGACATCATAACAATTAAAGAAATGCCAAAGTGAGTAAACAACGGACAAATTAGTATCGCCCGATCAACTTCTGCAACATTCGGCAATGAAGCATTTACCTAAATGATTGTTTTGATATGCGTGTAAATACGATAATCAATCAGTAACTGAATGCAAATCAAATAGGCCACGAGCTCTAGAAAAGAGGACATGTCAGTATGCACAAATGTACTTACGAGTAGAAGCTGGAATGGCTTTTTTAAATATGTATATTTTTTTATTGTTTTGTATTAAATAATCATGGATTGTAAATTTTATGAAAACTGAAGAGCGGATCAAGTTTTTAATTACTTAATAATTTTCGAAAATTTCTCGACAAACCGAGTAGCTTCATAATGAAAAGAAATACATATATTCAGTCTTATTGTTTGTTTCGCCCAAAAGAAATTCGCCCGTTTTCTTTTCAACCGCCCCCAGTGAATACACCTAAGCCAAAACTGAACGATTTCATGCGAACACTAAACTCTTGATTAGGCTGCTTTTGTGTTTTTTTTTATAGGAATATAATTTTTTTTCAATATGAAGCAACTTTAGTCACAATTCCAAATAACACAGCAAAAATTTCGTATACTTTGGAATATGCATGCGCGCATATATTTTTATAAATAAATACATTATTTAACTAGTATTTGTTTATGAATAAAAAAAAATTAAATTTTAACACCCTTACGATGCACTTTCATTTGAAATGCGTTTGCGTTTTTTTCACTTTATTTGCAGGGCTGTGAAATTTACATCGAAATTATTTGGACGCGCATTGTCAAAACGCATCAAGGCAACTGTTTTATATGCAACCGAAACGGGCAAATCCGAACAGTATGCAAAGCAGTTGTGCGAGCTATTGGGACATGCATTCAATGCACAGGTGAGTGAGTGACATCTGCCAAAGGTTTGAGAGTAAATATGTATGTATGTAGTGAAGGGATAGGTAAGAACCGCCGCACGCTGGTCTGAAAAGCTAAAAAACCTGTCCATAAACAAATTAAAAATTCAGCTAGAAGTTTTAAATTTGATAAGTAAGATTAGTAAAAAGTTTTAATATAATCAAAATCCATCCATATTTTTAGATTACCATATTTTGGAAGCTATTAAAGCAAGAATACTCTAACTTACAGGACAATTCCGGCAAGTGTATTTCCACTCACCACAGTCTGTCAATTCTTGCAACTATCTAGAAAGCTTTTTACTGCCTTTCGAAAGACTGATTGAAAGATCTGTTAACGAGGCGAAGGGACCTTTTTGCAATACGTTTTTTTTTAATTAAATAAAAAAAATTATTTTCTTTCTAAATTAAAAAAATCTAAAAATTAAAAGAAAATTTAATAAGAAAAAGAAAAAAATTTTACCAGGAAAGAAAAAACTAGTATATACTTAAAAACTTAATGAAATTCTGTAACATTTTTTTATTTTTAATACAAAATCTACAAATTGGATTAAAAACGCCAATAAATTAAATAATATCCTTAAAATTAAAGTGAATAAAATACGTTTCCCAAAATTTAACGATAATAAAAAAATATATTTTTTTAAGACAATGAAATTTAATAATAAAATTTAAATTAAATTAAAAAAAGAAAAAATTATTGTAAAAAATTCGCTGACCGAGGTATCGAGCTGGAATGTCTCGAAAGGCACACCAGTCTTTTGTTCATTCGAGCAAAATGATATACAAGTGATTTTTTTTATTAAAACAGCTTTACACCACGAGTGGTGGATGAGGGAGCTTTTTTTAAACTTTTGTACTATCATAACTATCTAATATTTGAGCAGGGACCAGTAATGATTCCACTGGCAATTCTGAATTGATGGCGTTAGATGACAATGGAGGCGCTTGAGCAACTGTAAAGCGGTAAAAGCGCTTTATGGGAAGTATTTGTGGCGTAAGGGACGTGTCAGCTCTGGCCTACTCATCTATCTCACGTTTACCTGGTATATCGCTGTGGCCTGGAACCGGACTAACTATTGCGACTTTTTAGAGGTAGTCTAGAATAATTCTAAAGATTCAATAGCAGTATGAGGCTGATGATTGTTGCAGGTTAAAAAGCTTGAAGCTCACTGCAGTCGAAAGTAAAAATTAGAGTGAAAGTTTCTGCGATTATACACCATTTATTTTCGTGGCTACTCCTCATTCGCTCTACGAAGGAAATTGTGCGGTAAATCTATTTTCCAAATCGACACTTGGTGCCGTGTAGATTTAAGACTTCTTTTTAGCACGTTACATGTCTAGTATTTTCAGGAGACCTAATTTTTTACCTCTCCAGTTTGCCAGTGCCCTTTTTATGACTGTATGGCAACTTGCCTATTGTTTACCAAAAAAGGGTGCACATAATGAGATTAAGCACAATTTCAAGAGCCTTTATTGGGGCCCCTTTGTACCATACCGGGTTTTTACCTAGTCGTGGATTTCTCTAGCATTTCTTTAGTCCACATCTCGTCGTCCAAAGAGCTAGCTTTTCGAGCACTGTCAGCCATTCGAGCTATATTTTAACGCTCAAACCGCATCGTTTCTCCTATGAAATTTAAAATTGTCCTTAATAAGGCTGCACCCGGATTTCAACATTCGCTATGGCTTATTTGATTGCCAATAATCTCCAAAAAAAAACCAGGCACGCCTAACAATATGCAACATCTAGTTACATGCCCCCCCATGCACATTGCATCTGTTAATTTTCCATGTTGTATACCTTTAGGCCACACTGATTTTTATTCACAGAATTTTGGTGACGTAAGTTTAGCGTAGTCATTGTCGGAATTCCACTGCCAGTTGAAATTCACGCCAACGATATATGTGTACGGGGCAGGGCAGGCAGTACGGCTCTGTTAATTCACAGTTGTTGTATTAAAGACTTCTTCTTACTGAAATACCTATCATCAGCTAACATACCCGCTTCATTTCAGATCTACTGCATGTCAGACTACGACATATCATCAATTGAGCACGAGGCTTTACTAATTGTGGTAGCATCAACATTCGGAAATGGCGATCCACCAGAGAATGGAGAGGTATGTAGCGCACAGGAGAGTTGACAACGGGAAATATGGTAATAAATATATTAAGCTACTTATATGGCTCTATAATCATTTCACGGTTTATGGTCATACCAAGCGGCGTAATGGGAAAGTTAAATGAGGAAAGCAAATATTAAAAAAAAAAAAAAAACTTTATTAAAAACCGTATATGTGATGGCCGGAATGCACACGAAATAAAGGCCAATAAAGGAAAGAGCATATAAAAAGGCACAAGTAGCAAAACGCCTTAATTTGATTTGCTTATAATAGACTCTGTCTATTTGCTATTTACTTTATCTATCTATCATTTGCTTGGCTTATCCGAAATTAACTTTCCTTGCGCTCTTGTGTACATACCTACATACATATGTACGTACGTAGACCCAAACGTACCACAGGGCGTATGCGTAACCAAGCAAGCAAGCGTGTCGTCTGTGGCTGATGAGGCTACAAAGTGGAACTTGGTAGCAATCGTTTTTCATGCTCAATCAAACATTACGATTCGCTCATTTCCTTATTTAATGAATGTGAGTTTCATTGGACACTGCACCATTAAGCTGTGCGCGGGGGCGTGCGTCCGCCGCCGCCTATGCCATTGTTTTGTATGTAATTTATTTTTCTACTAATTCCATTATTTTCAAATTATTTCTTACTTCTTTCTATGTGTGCAGCTTTTCTCGCAAGAACTCTACGCAATGCGTGTGCAGGAGACCAGTGGTGATGGTCAGGATTCCAGGTAAGTGCTTGGGAAAATTGTGGGCTGCACAAATAATTTTTTTTTTTTTTTTTGTGAAAACGGTGAACAGCAGAACTGAAATTTAGTATTTAATATCCTTTCTCCTCAGCAAATGAAAACTAATTTTTTAGTTTTTTCAGATTCCAAAATTTGTAGAACATTTTTAATATGCCACCTCGTTTGTGCTCTGAATTTTAAAATATGCCAAAATATCGCCGACTTTTATAGTTTTGCATTTTCTTTGCTGGTCATTAGTGGGGTGCATAATTTCATTTAGCATTGAATTTCAAGCCATGTTCTTCGTTAGTATCTGCGTTTCTCTTTTGCGTGCTGTTACGCACACACTCTTGTTGTGCCTTGTTTGCGTTTTTCAATATTTTCACGTCCCGCAAACTTTTAGCTCAGCCATGCTTTGTACGCACGAAAGCCAATACAATAAATGTCTGCTCAATAAAATTTGAAGAACTATGTACTACCTGCACACATACACACACATGCCGCCTGCATACGCAATGACGTACACAAGGAATTCCGCCGCATTAATTTTTGAACACCACAAATCGGAAAAATTCAATTTCGCAACACAAAGCATTCTGAAAAGGGCCAGCTGTGCTGCCAGCCACACAACACAAACCACAAAGATATGAATTTCAATGCACGTGGTAAGTTCGTTCGTATAGCTGTGGCATGGGTGCGCCTAAAATTATGCAAAATACGCAAGCCTGCTTAGTATAATTTATTATCGGTAGCCAAGAAAAAAAATATATAAATAATTCATGTAGGCTGAAAAAAATTGTTGTCCGAATTACAGACAAAATAATTTAAATTACATATCGTTTTGCTGGTTTTATGGAAATTTATTGGCAAGCGACAGTAAAGTGACGCTGATTTATAGCATACTTTGCGGCGCTTTAAAGTTTACTAAAAAATAAACACGATGCCAACACAAGACAAGAAAGCAGTGCACATCTTTTCTTCGCGCACTCGAGTAAATATTTTCACAAACACCACTTTTATGCATTGGCACATTAATTTCACTAACGAGCGGCTGTGCTCGCTTTCCATAACAATGCCTACTTTGCGGTGCTCAAGTATATGCTTGCTTACACAAATTTTATTCATACATTTCACATGCACATTCTGTCACTATCAATATCGTATTTGTACATGAACATCTTTGAACGTATGTATATGGGTACTTTCTGAAAAGCGTCAACCAAAAGCACAAAAACATAAAAATCCACCGAGACTAAATTTAATGAAGCTAATCGATTGCTCCGTATTTCATATACTAAAATATTATGCTAGTCGGTTCATTACATTGCAAAATATAAACTTTTTGCTAACTACTTTTCCTTAAATTATATTACTTGTAGGAAAAATCCTTTCCTAAAGCTTCTAATTAAGGTAGAAATTAATAAAAATAAATATATGCAATAGTTTAGAACACACCATGATTTTTTTTTAAGGCCCATACCAAAACTTATGTAGTAAGTTGTGACCAACAGCCCTATTCCCTCATCATTGACAAAATTCATCGTATGACTATTGTCATAATTACTGGGTATAAAAGATTGTTTCGTCATTGTCGCGAGCTCAGTTGATCATAACAATAAAAATGACAGTTGTCATCATTAGAGCGCTTAAAATCAATTTGCTGCATAGTTTTAGGCGTAGCAGTAAAGACAATAGTCAGCCGTTGAGTTTTGTCATTGGCGTGGGAATATGGCTCTAATGGTCTAAAGTGAAGTCAAATGTTTTACTTTTGAGGTAAGAAAATGAGTGGTAACGTTTACCTTAATTGCTAAAATTTTAATATGAAAGCTAGAATATAGGTATAAAGTCGCTGACATAGAATATGTTTCGTTTGTTTTTTAATAGTTTGCGAATTAGTATCAGTTTTGCAAAATTTTCGCTTTATTAAATCGGAAACCGATATTTTTCAGGAAATTTTGAATAAATTTATTTGTGTTATAGAATATGGAAGCTTAAACTTAGCAAAATTAGAGAAACATAAATTAGAGTTCTTGTGCTTACGCCTTCTTTATAAAATTCGAATTTTTAAAGAAACCATCAGGTATTTGTATTAAAAAAATTTAAATAAGCTTTGAATCATTTTATTGTAACCCAAATAATTTTTGATAATATTAAAAACTTACGCAATGACCAGCAATACGATTTGATTTTAATTTGGCATAAATTACGGAACGAGGAAATACTATTGCTAGAATACAATATCCATAATATATCGAGCCCTAACCGCCAAATTAACGTAAGCGGCATTTTTTTCAAAATTTTCTTTTTGATGCAGAAATATTATATAAAAAGAAAATTTTGAAAAAAATGTCGCTTACGTTATTTTGGCGGTTAGGGCTGGATATTATGACGGAACAATTTGATTTATCAGTAGTTTTTCAGCGAAAATTTTGTTTCAATTGTTTAAATAACTTATAAACAAATGGGAAAAAGTGCAATAGGCGTTCTTATCTACTCAACGAAGCTGTGTGAAAGGCATTATTGAATGATTTGCTCTCCGTTTTCTGGATCCTTGAAAAATCTTCGTCAGGGTTTGAATTCATACCGTTTAAAAATTACGGGCGTCAGCTGGTCAAATATTTTAATAAAAAACGCAAGCAATGTGTTGAATTCTTTAAGTAATGTTACCATTTTTATTCACTGGAAAAAATTTAAACGTTCGAACGGGAACGTCTGAACGTTTTTACCCGTCTTTTAAAAACCACTGGGGAACGTCCGAACGTAAAATTTTAGGGAAACCTACACTAAAAAGTTGCCATTCATGGGAAAGATTTTTACTTGTGCTGAATGAATGATAATAATGGCTATTTATCACAAAAACAAAAACAAAAAATTCTAACCCAAAGCCCACTACTCTTTTTACGATGAAAAGAAGTGCCTCCGCATGGATCGTCCGTAACACAGGAAATGCCCATATTTGTACGTTTATACAACAGCGCAATTTCCGTCTTTCTTTGTGCCAAAAATAATTTCGTGTTATTTGTATAAGACAAGCAGCTAACATTTATAGTAGACATTGTTGAAATTTCCCATTGACACAACTTTGACAACAAAAGCAACTTTGCAGCAAACAAATGTGTATTAACATAACACAAAAACCTAGATGTGTATGTAACTACATACATATGTACTAATTTGGGGAATAACACCCATAAATAATTATTTGCTGTGCATATGTATGAGTGTAGCTACATGCATATCAATACCCTCTAGCTACATTTTCCACAAAAACTAGTTGCTAATGCTAGTACCCATCTGCCCATTGCCAATGCAATAGTAAATTCTTTAGACAACTGGTCTACAAGATCACTGATGGCAGTTAAATCTTAGATGGATTTTTATATCAGATAGCGGGTATTGAATGTAACTTGTCGATGTGTAAAAAATTTCTGTATTATTTTCTCTGATAAATACTTAAACATGAGTGAGTTGGCGAATATTCACTTCAGTGGAACCGAACTCTTGCCTTTTTTTCGCAAGCCATTTTAAAGGATATATACGACTTATAAGTTTCGCTTCAACGACTTATGTATATGGCTAGGTAAGATGAGTTGTGCTGCTCTCCCAGGTGTTCAATCGGTGGAATTATATGTAATTTCAAGTGATACCCTGAACCAAGATTGCCGACACAATGCATTTGGTGGTGCAGGAATGCTAGTATTTTTATCCGCCTTTCCTTTTGAAGGTCGAGCACTCGTCTATAAGTTTGGTTAGTCTCCTTATAGTTCGTTCGGTTGACGTGCGAGACCTTTCTCACTCAAATAAACTAATATCCGCAAGCTAGTTTTCATTAATCGCAGTAAAATTCATCGCACGACGATTGGTGGCTTGCGATATGGTTTTTATTTTGACGCAAATAAAGGCGTCCAAGAAAGTTATCCTTTTCTACCAAAAAATGCTACTACGGACAGGGCAATGAAAAGGTAGCATTTTTTGTAGAAAAAAAACGCCATTTAAGACATGAACACGCACAGTACAATACAAATAAATTTGTTCATGAATCATGTCCTTGTTGATCTCAAAGAAAAAGTCTTTAATTTTCCAAATGTCCATGAAAATATGTATTTACTGCTGATAATAATGCCGCGGGCTTATATTGGAAATCCACAGCAGTCAAATTTGAAATAGGCATAAATGAGAAAATCATATGGTTTTTTCTTGAGCCCATGGAAAAGTTAAATACATACACACATATTTACGTGTGTATATGCATTCAAAAAGGAAAATCCATCACATACAGTTGTACATATTTACTTACTGACATTGGACGTGAGCACTCGATATGTATGTGTATGTGTGCACACTTCAAAGTATTTACTTGCTCAACCAAGTGCCGAATTTGCCACAATCACAATCATTTAAGCGTCAAATCTATGCCCAAATACCCTGTAGGGCAACCTCGAACTAGTCAAACAAATTTCTAGTTTCGTACTAGATCTGCATCGCCAAAAACGAACCAGCCCGATAGTAACTAGATCCCTACCAGTTCAAAAGCAGCCAATTTGGGTACTGTAAAAATTGTTTATTTTACTTTTTCAAATTCAATTGAAACACCGTAGGACATCGCAGGGTTAAATTCACCAGCTGCTAGCATGCAAACGAGAATCAACGCGCTCTATCCATGGTTCTAAATTCTCTAGTACCGAACCAGTTCGGCACTAGTGCGTTTCTCCACAGGTACCCTGCAGTGAAATCCCAAACTAGTCAGGAAAAATACTAGTTTACAACTAGAATTCCCTGACAGAAACCGAACTAGTTCGAAAATGACCAGACTTGTACCAAGTACAAAACTATTTATTCATGCCCTGTTTTATTATAACTTTTATTTGGGTATATTGTAAACCATTAAATTGAGTACGTATTCGATTATACCAGGCCTGTAAAATAATGATTAATATTCATAATGACTATTAATTAAAGCATGTTTTTTGATAACCGTTTAGTTGATTAAATACCGATTAATT